GGCCTGGAACTTGCAAATATCCCCCTGCCTCTGTCTCCTGGTATTGGAATTAAAGGGGATGATGTGCTACCATGAATGACAAATAGGGCTTTTTAATGGAAAAAATTTTTCTGTTAATGTTGTGATTATTTTTCAAAGTATTCAAAAAAAAATTTTTTTTTTTTTCGAGACAGGGTTTCTCTGTAGCTTTGGTGCCTGTCCTGGAACTAGCTCTGTAGACCAGGCTGGCCTCGAACTCCCAGAGATCCGCCTGCCTCTGCCTGTTAGTATGCATTGTTAAAAGAAAGTCCCTATGTTATGATTTGCATTGACTAAATGACCCTAGGCAGGGTAGATGGCTCAGCAGTTAAGAGGTCATGCTGCTCTTTCATTGGACCTGAATTCCATTCCTAGTCCTCATATCAGATAACTCACAGCCTTCTGTAATCGCAGCTCCAAGGAATCTGACTTCTTTTTTCTGGCCTCCCTAGGCACCTGCATACACTCATACATAGGCGCACAAGAAGACATAGATAAATAATAAAATAAATCTTTCAAACATAGAGCCTATTTATTCATATTTCTGGGAGTTACAGTCCTAAATTGTTTTGAGTGTGTCCTCAATCACTTTTAAGCTGCTCTTTAGGTTTCCTTCCTCATTCATTCATTTGAACTGTTGCATACAGAACTCAGAGTCTCAAGTGCTGGTAAGTGCTTTGCCGCTGCCCTTCCTCCTGCCTCTGGGGAAGTCCCTTTGTTATTAGATGGCTTTCCTTGGCACCTGTGACAAAAGCCCAAGGCCTTGCACACAAACTATGTCTCCAGTGCTCTAACCCTTTTATTGTTAAATCATAATCTAGTACAATTGAAGCTTTTCAAAACAATATCTAGTTGATTATTTGTGGAGGAGGGTGGCATGCACATGCCACAACACACACACACACACACACACACACACACACACACACACACACGGAAGTCAGAGAACAACTTGTAGACTTGATTTTCTCTACTTTGTGCCATTTTGGGAGATTAAACTCAGATCATTAGGTTTGGTGCAAGTTCCTTGACCACTGAGCCATCACGCTAGCCCAGATTTTATGTAGAAATTTTGGAAATACAGATTAATTTAAGAACCAAAGCAAAAGTTATAATTTTATTTATATGCAGTCAGTCTTTTCACATTTTTCTCTCCAAGTTTGTTTTCCTTCCCTTGCTGTCAGGATAACCACCAGGGCAAAAGCTATAGACTGTGAGGCGAGGAATTCCCCAGTGAACCACATTCTCTACCTTTCAGGTTTTATTCATTTTTTATCCTTTGGTATTTAAAATTTTTTAAATTTTTCAGTGTCATTTAAACACGTTTAGAAAACATTTTAAAATAATACTTTAGCAGTATAGTATAACTGCATTTATTTAAATATTGATTTATTTTTGGAAAACTTATGTTAGCAATGTAGGCCATTTTACATAATATTGTGGTGAACATTTTAGTGCTTACATGTTTTTCAATTACTTTTGTTAAATTTTAAAATAATTACATATTGTGTGGAAGTGCAGTGGGCCTGGAATCAGAGGATAACTTGCCAAGGAGTGGTTTTCTTTTTCCATTATGTAGGCCTTAGAGATTAAAATTATGCAATCATGCTGTAAGAATTGGTGGCAAGCATCTTTTCCTTTCCTTTGGACCCCTCAGTTCTTTTCCTTTTCCTTTTTTTTATTTTTGGAGACAAGGTCTTAGTGTATAGCTTTGGTTTTCCTGAAACTCCCGGCTGGACTCAACCCATAGAGATTTGCCTACCTCTGCCTTCCATGTGTTGGGATTAAAGGCATATGTTGCCATACCTAACTCTTCAGTTACTTCCTTAAAATACAGTTTAAAATTATATTAGTAGTCAGTGAATATGGACATTTTAAAGACTGTTCATACTGGCAAGGTCCTTCTAACCATGTATAAGATTGTGAGTTTTAGCCAAGCAGTGGTAGCGAACGCCTGCAATCCCAGCACGCAGGAGGCAGAGAGAGGCGGATCTGAGTTTAAGGTCAGCCTGGTCTACGGAGTGAGTTTCAGGACAGGCTCCAAAGTTACATAGAGAAACCCTGTCTTGAAAAAAAACAAGCTAATAAACAAACAAAAAAGATTGTATGATTGTGTGTTTTATAATACTTTGATCTGCTCTGTATTTAGAATTTTAGTTTTAATTCTCATTCAGTGGAATATTTTATTGTAAGTAACTTTAGTGTAAAAAATTATATTTATAGAATCATGTGGAAAAAGAGAGATTGAATGTACCTGAAAATTTTGGGACAGAGAATACAGAAAGAGAGAACCTAGGTGCTGAAACTGTGTCTGAGTAAGTACTTGGGAAGAAATGACCTTCAGGAGTGGTTGCGATTGTTAGTTTTCTTTTTAATAAAGTCTGAATTGTCAGTGAGGATACTTTAAATCTGTTTTCATTAAAGATAGTAGCAAGAAATTTTGCTAACACGCGGGTGTGTTTGGTGTTAGAGATAGAAATGATGGTACGGGTAGGCCTAGGGTCGTATCTGATTCGAATGTGTGAAGCCTCATTCACTCGGGAGCCTCACATAAACCGGGTGCGGTGGCACGTGCTTGTGATGCCAGTGCTGCAGGTGTGGATGAGGGAATTGGACATTCAAGATTATCCTCTTCTCAGGTGATTTTGAAGTTCTCCTGTGGGACAGGAGAACCATCTCAAAAAAAAGTAAATAAAAATTTTAGGGCTTTATTTATTTATTTATCTTGAGGCAGGGTGTCTCTGCATAGCTGTCCTGGAGCTTACTCTGTAGACCAGGTTGGTCTTCAACTTAGAGATCTGCCTCTTGAGTGCTGAGATTAAAGGTGTTCACCACCACCATCTGATATAAAATATTTAAATGAGCGTATGAATCTATTGAGTTAGCAGTTTTGTGCGTCCTTCAATTTACTAATATTTTCTAAGAAGTCTTATCAGATAAATAAATGATTAAGATATGTTTGTGAATGGTTGTATTTGTAGGAAGTGATTTCTAAAGGAATATTTAACTTGATATGGGTATAAGACTGGTAGCTCCAAATATGGTTGTAAACAGTAGATTCTGGGCTATTCAATGGGATGCTGTTCTATAAATTGGCACTGATTCCCTGACATTATGTATATTCATTGATGTCCTGAAAGAGAAACAGTAGTGTCACATATTGGGTAGATAAAGGTTTTCCCATTTTTAAAATGAGATTTTGATTTTTTTTTAAAAGACATAACTTAGGCAACACTAATGGATATTCCAATGGGAAATGAAGCACAGGATAACATTCCTCCTGATTCTTCTGCCTCACCTATTTTTTAGAGGATTCACTTTCTTTCTATGTCTTTGATAATTATCAAACAACACTGTTTACCAAAGAAGGTTTTGCTAAGCTGTTTATCTGGGTCTCACTCAGGGTGTTCATCTGTTTCTTCTAATGTGTTTTTTAACACTTTAAAAAGTGCTTGGCTGTAGTTTTTTTTTTTTCAATTTTATGCACAGGATTTGACTGGGGATATGTTTTATATTTTATGTGGACTGTCCGGAGAAGGGTGGGGTTAGTATATGGTTTTCTTCCATCGGCTGTCACAGGAAGTTCTGCTGTGCAGTTACATTTTCGGAGGGATTTTAGTCCATCAGTGATGGGGAAGGCATCTTGCCAGAGGCAGATTTGTCTCCTGGGAGGGTGCTGAGGTGGTATTTTCATGAGGGTCCAGAATTGTCTGTTTGAAAGAGTAGAGTGTAGATGTGTAGTGATTATCTTATAAGATGTTCTTGTGGATACTTGAAAAATGCTTCCTATTTAACATGACTTACTTATTTATATAGCCAAACAACTTTGTGACTTTATTGTAATCATACTGTTATTTCTTTGTAATTATAGTTTGAGTGAAAAGTCTTGTGTACAGGAAGATGGTAAACCAAAGGTCTTAAGACCTGCACGTCTATTGAGGGGCCGAATGCAAAGACCAAGGCCTAACATACAGAAAGCTACAGGACGAGAAGAGACTCCTACACCACAGGGAAAAATTGGGGCCCATGTAGAGAAGAATGAAGACGAATCCTGTGTTGATAGAGAGCAAAGTGAATCCTGTGTTGTGGTATGTCGATTCTGATAACATTTATTAAGCAAGTATATAAGCCTTTATGTAAGCTCTCACCTTTTTAAAATAACCTTTTGTGTGTTATTTGTTGCATTTGTGGACAAAATCTCATAGTGAGGAGTTTTGTTTATTGTTAAATCATTTTAGATATTTGAGCATTGTACATGACTCTTGATTGCTCTCATCTTAACTCATATTTGGACTTGGTTTTTCCCCTGTGCTTCAGATTGAGCCCAGGTTCTCAAGCATGTTAGGCAAGCACTCTACCCTTGAACACATTCTCAGCCTCCTTTCGGAATGATAGTCATATATGTGAATTTTAATACTGGCTTAAACAAAATATTGAAAGTACTCCTTTCAAGTATAATTCCCAAAACAGATAATGAAGTGTGTGTGTGTGCATGAATGAGAGAGAGAAAGAGATGTAGAAGACTGAACCTAAGGCCTCTTTCATTGCTAAGAAAGCACTCTTGCCTCTGAACTATATCCCTGGCTCATGGAGTTTTAGATTATTTATATAGTTGTTAGAAGAAAGCAGAGTTAGCATGACTTAACATTTGGGTTATTTCTGCTATAATTTTATATTTTAGATAGAGTTTTCCAACTCTTTAGATAGTGGCTTCCAACTCACTGTGTAACTGAGAATAACCTTGGAACTCTGATCCTCCTGCCTCCACCCACATGCTAAGATTGTAGGCATGTGCAACCATGCCCGTTTTTATGTGGTGCTGTGGATTGAACCTTGCAAGAGCTTTGAGTATGCTAGGTAAGCACTCTTACTACATGAGCTACATCCTTAGCCTTGTCTGTTGTTAAAGTTTTTACAGTCTCTAAAGTACTTAAAGAGTATGAATTTAGAAATCCAAGCACCGTGGAAGATTCTGACAAATGTGATGGAAACAGACTGAAGTAGATGAGTCTGAAACATCGCTTTCTGATGGCACAGCAAAGACTAGGGCTTTGAGACGTGGTAAATATGTGACTTACGGAATTTTTAAGATAGTGAAAGGAAAAACACTAAAATGTGTTTTTTGACTGTTATTTTATAATTTTGACTTTTTTTTTAACCATTTTATTTATAATCAAATGAGATGGAATATTTTGTAGTTGGATTGTTTCAAATTCCCTCAAAAAGCCTAGGTTTGTTTGGGAAAGTGGTCTTCTGCATTTACCTCCCAAGTCCCAGAACATGCATCATAATACCTGGTTACAATAGATTTTTCAGTAAAAACGTTTTAAAGTTTTGTGTTTTGTTGTGAAATCTAAAATACTACAAACTTTGTTATTAAGATTCCTGAACAAATGGAAAATGAGTCATTTAAAAACCTCCAGTGTGAAGATGTCACATCACAGCCTGAAGAGAAGGATGCTTCAGCAAATGTGCACTCTGATGAGCCCAGGGTTCTTAATGAATGTCCAAGGTGAGCATCGTTTATCCAGTTATACAATTTTCAAGTTTTTAATAAGATTCAGATTAGTTATATTTATTTATTCTGTGTTATAAGACAGAAATGGGGCGCGCATGCCATGGAGGTCGGTTCTCTCCTTCCACTGTGGGAATGGAACTCTGGTCATAAGGCTTAGAAGGAAGCATTTACCTCCTGAGCCACTGACCCACAGAAACAAACTAAATGGCCTCTCTGTCTGTGTGTCATCTATTATGGCTAACAATGTATAAGGTGTTAGAGAGAGGGCTCAGCTGTTCACATTGCTTACTGTTTTTGCAGATGGGCCAGGCTTGGTTCCCAGCACCATACCACCTAGCTCACAACTGACTGCAATTGCAGCTCTAAGGCATTTGATACCCTCTGGCCTCTGATGCTTGTGGTATATGGTATATATAAACACACACACATAAATTAAAAAATAGGTCTTAAAAAAACAAAACAAAAATGTAAAGGGTTGACGAGATGACTCGCTGGGTAAAGAGGCACTTTCTCTCAAGTCTGACGACCTGCATTTGATCCCACATGGGGCAACAAGAGAACCAACTCCCACAAGTCGTCCTCTGACCTCCATATGCATGTGCCCCACCTTCACATTAAATACATGTAAAGGGAGCCGTCATTACTATAGCTTTATTTAAAACTGTTTAGGAATTGCTCTTTTCAAGGAAGTTTATGTCTTAGCTTTCATGTTAGTTCCTAAGTTATAGGTGATTTGAAGAAAACTATTTAATATAAACTAAGATCTGAGTTAATAGGAGCAGTTTTTTCACTTAGCAAGTGTATTCGCTGGGTGGTGATGGCGTACGCCTTTATTTTATTTTATTTTATTTTTGTTTTTTCGAGACAGGGTTTCTCTGTGGTTTTGGAGCCTGTCCTGGAACTAGCTCTTGTAGACCAGGCTGGTCTTGAGCTCACAGAGATCCACCTGCCTCTGCCTCCCAAGTGCTGGGATTAAAGGCGTGGCATACGCCTTTAATCCCTCCCTGCACAGGCAGGTATCTCAGTAAGTTCGAGGCCAGCCTGGTCTACAAGAGCTAGTTCCAGGACAGGCTCCAAAACCACAGAGAAACCCTGTCTTGAAAAAGCAAAAACAATAACAACAAACCCACAAGCATATTCATTAGATGTCTACATCCAAATAGAAATGCTACTTTTTGGTAATGTTTGATTTTCTAAAATTAGGTCAATTATATGTAGAACCCATCCTCTTCATAGCCAAAGTTCCTGTTTATTATTTTTACCAAACCAGACTGATGGAATTATTAGGATGCTTATAGCTTGATAATGTTTGAAGCATGTAGATACAGTGATAACAGCCTAGATTTCCTGTATCTGTTCTCTTAACATTCGCATTTAAAGGCTGGCTGTGATCTATTTATAGACCTATTTTATAACATCTAACTTGAAAGACTGGGTTTCTGTCACTTGAAGTATTCCTTTATTTCTTGCTTCATCTATTATTGCTTTTCCTAGTACCCCTTCAACTGTTTAATACTAATGTGTCCTATAGAACTACCTTTGTAACTACACATCTCTGATAATAGATTTTATTTGTAGCTATCTGGCAGATTGGTTATATTTATTTATCTAGGTTTAAATGAGACTCCTTTAATTATGGTATCTTAGAAGAAAGTTAAGTTTTTTGAGTGTTTATTGGGTTTTAGAACCCTGATTAATTTTTAAAATTCATTTAGTTTGAAAAAGAATTCCATGTAGCTTAGGATGACTGAACTCACTATGTAGATGAGGATGACCTTGAACTTTTTCTTTTTTTCTTTTTTTTGACCAGAAATAATCTTACTAATTTTAACTTGAAATTTTGCATTTCACATAAAAACAAAAACAATTGTTTTGGGGTTTTAAAAATTACATATTTTAATTACATAAAATTAATTAAAGATATAATCACTCAGATATCATTTTGAGTGTATTGGGTATTAATTGCACATTTTTTCTCTTTATTCTTTGTGTCTCTCACCTCTCATTCATTTTTCTGTCCTTTCATATCCACCCTCTGCCCTTGGGACTTCCTCCCCAAAATAAAATAAAATAAAGTTTAAGAGAAAAAAGAAAAGACAAGAAAGAAAAAAAGGGAAAAAAAAATCAGTGTTTTCATGGAAGCTGTAGTGTGACACAGTGAGTCACGCAGTAAACCCTATTATCCATGTATCTTTACTTGCAAATGTTCATTGCAAAGAATCAATGGTCTGGTTCGGGCCTCTGGTTTCTGATTCAGTATTGATGCTGGGTCCTTACTAGGGCTTCTCTTAGTTATCCTGATGTTGCCCTGTGTTATGGAAATCCTGCACTCTGGGGGTCTGCAGGTCTTTTCACGTGCTGTAGCAAATCACAGATGGAGTGAATGTTGGGGTGGGCCAACACGTGACCCTTGCTCGGGCCTGGGCAGTTGCATGGTTGGTTAGCTCGCCAGCTTTCTGTTGTCCTCACCACCAGGGTGAGCTTCCTGGCAATTGTCTTTGCATGTTCACCCTTTGCAGTGATGAGCAAGGGGTGGGGCCAGCTCTCCTATTTTCATGTCCTCATGGTCAGATCTCCTTCACCTATACCTTGAGGGTCAGTTTTTACTGTGTTGCTTAGGCATGCAGTAGGGGCCACTATCCCAAATGCTGTGGATGATGAGGGGCAGGGGCCACTCAATTCTCCTGCTTTTATGACATCAGGGCAAGCTTTCCTACCTGCCTCAGGCAGTGATGGTCTGTGGTTGGGAGTCAGAGGAAGGCATCTCTCTTCCCTGCCCATGTTACCACATGACAGATGAGTAATGGGGACTGCTCTCCCATGCTCACAACATTGGGGCTGGCCCACCCACACCTCTGCCAATAGGATTGACTCTGTTTTGCCACCCAGGCGTGGTATAGAACCTGCTCTCCCTTCTGTTGCAGTAGGTGGGGGTTGGGGAAGGAACAGCTTTCCTTAGCTCATGCTGCCCCACATCTTTGGGGCTGACTCACCCACTCCTCCGCCAATGGGTTGGCTCTATTGTGCTGTCCACTCAAGGTGCAGGGCCTGCTCTCCCAAGTACTGCAACTGGTGGCAGGCGGGGACAGCTCTCCTGAAACTTTTTCCTAATCCTCTTGCCATCACCTCCCATGTAATTGGATTATAGATATATACCATCAAGCGTACTTTTTGGATATTTGTAACTAATATACAGTCTGACTTTAGCAACTTCCCTCTGTAAAGGCAGTGTCTTTACTGTAGATTTACCTTGTGATATTTCTGGCCTTTAAATATCCAGGAGCCTTGGAAATAAATAATTCTGAGTTTCTGTGTTTTCTCTAATTTTGACCAGTGTATGGATAATAGACAGTTCCCTGTGACAGGGTTTCTCTGTGTAGCTTTGGAGCCTGTTCTGGAACTAGCTCTTATAGACCAGGCTGGCCTTGAACTCAGAGATCCTCCTGCTGTGCCTCCTGGCTCGCCACACCGTCCAGCTTTTTTTTTTTTTTTTTTTTTTAAATTTGAGAGTGTTTAGTGTTTCTATAGGGGTTCCTTAACTGTCATCTGTTCAACTGGTAGTCTGGATTAGAATTTGTCTTTCTCTCTCTCTCTTTTAGTATTCAAGAGGACAGTAAAGCAAATAAACTAAAGCAAGCTCCAGTTCTAAGGACGCCATTTCAGAAACCAAAACCCAATACAGGAAGAAAAAGAATGACCTCCAAGGAAGGGGTGTCAGAGGAGGTTCCTATTTCTGGAGAAATAACAACTTTGGAAGAAACTGCAAAACCAGACTCTTTGCCAAGGAAGAAGATGCCAATTGTGACCATTACTGTTACTCCTGCCACTAACGAATTGGAATCCGATTTAAAAGACACTGGAAAAAATGACACATCTTCTAACATGAAGATGTCAGAAATGACAGAAGTCACTATGGAAATGGAGATAGGTTTGGAAACAATAGAGAGAGTGATTTCCCCAGGGGAGACGGGAGCAGAAATGATTGACATCCCTATGGAAACAGAGATAAGTTTGAAAGCATCTTTAAATGAGATTTCTCCTATGGAGAACGTGTCAGAGTTGATTGATACCACAGAGGAAATTTATATAAATTTGGAAGAAACTGGAAGAAGAGAAACATTTTCACAAGAAAATGGCCCCAAGGAGGTTAGTCCAATTAGTGAAATGGAGACAGACTTGCAAGAAACTGGAAAAGACTTACCCACAAGAGACAGGACAACAGATATGATTGATAGCACTGAAAAAGGGGAGGCATATTCAGAAGACACTGAAAGACGAGAAATATCTGTGCCAGTAGAGGAGACAGAGGAGCCCAAAACCATGGGTGAAATGGAAACACATCTGGAAGAGTTCGGAGAAAAGGCAGTGGGATCCCCAGCAGAGCAGCTGGCTAGTGAGCTGGATGTGTGCAGTAGCACACACGAAGAAGAAGCGGGGGTGGAGTCGAGTGCTGTGGAAGAAAAGAAGCTTGACCTGAAGGGAACTGGAGAAAGAGACATTTCCACGATGGTCATGGCATCAACAGAGATGACTGCCCCTGAGGAGGGTAGTGGAGATCTGAAGGAAACAGGAGAGACGTCCATCTCTTGGGAGAGAGGACCTGGAGAGATCCGTGTTGGGAAGCACATGGTGGCAGACTTAGAAGAAACAGAAAAAGTAGATATTTCTCCAAGAGAGCATGAACCAGAGGAACATAGCTCAAGGCAGCTCGTGGCAGATGTGATTCAGAGCAGCAGTAATGACAGCAGCCCCGGGGTTTCAGTGGATAGAAAAGTATGTATTTCTCTGTCTTACAATGATTTAAAAACATTTCTCAGCAAGGTTACTAAAATAATTTATCATTATTACCCTTAAGTCCCAAAATACTTAAAATTGCAAATAAAAATCTAAAATCTTTTTCAGTCCTAAATCCTTTCATTTCAGATTATTGAAGAACTTGCGTATTCACTTAAAAATTTAAAAAGACTATTTTTTCTAATTGTGGGAGAATTACTAATCATAATAACAGTTTGAAGTTACTCGTTTAGATAGCAATATATTTAGGAAATTGGACTAAATTTGTGCCAACCTGAGTATAAACATAGGCTGAAATTATTTCCTTTGGTCATAAACACCTATATATGTTTTTATTCTCCCTGACATCAAACTGCCTCCTCTTTTAAATCTTTTGGTGAAAGTTTCCTTTCGTGCAAAGTTCATACTCATAATAGCATTTGTGAGGATTTCTTCTCTTTGTGTGTGTGTGTATAATGATATTTGTGGTTAGGAATAGTCTTAATATACAATATGAAGGGAAGGCATTCTGAATTTTAAGTTTTAATATTTCTGACTTTTATATTTAACAGTTAAAAACTTCTGTATTTTTAAATCACTTTTAGAAATAAACTTGTTTAAAATGTATAAAATACTTAGAGAATTTCTGTTTATGATGATGTATTGCGATAACTTTTCTCTAGAATATTAGCAATAAAATATCAGTGATGCCTACATTTGAGGAACGAAATGAAAACTCTGACATGGAAGTATCAAGTCACTTAAGTCATGTGAAGTCTTCCCAGAATTCTGCAGACCATGAAACAGTTGCAGCGATACAGCCTGCAGATGTCCTGGAGCAGTTTTCCGGTACTAGCCTAAGGTACAAGTGTTTGGTCTGTGTGCCTTCACAGAAAAAGAATATAAAGTTACATTCGCAGATTATTCTAAAACAAGTGAACTTTCAAGCCATGACATAAATTGGATAGTGTTACAAATTTTGAGATAGCTTATGCAAGATTGGGAGAGAGGATTAAGGCCACTCTGATAGCTATTGGTGAGATTTATTACCAAATTTCATGTAACACATAAGTCAACATGGGTTTGACCAGTATTTTCTTCATGCAAAAAAATGATAGGTTTATACCTGAATTGCACAACTTAATGTTTTTCAGAATTTAATGGATAGTTCCTTTTTTTTCTTAAAAAATAGAATTAGACAGATATAGATAGGATGGTACATGTGAGGTAGAGGCTGGAGGAAAATTGAAGGCCATCATGGCCTAATAGAGCAGGTTCCAAGCCAGTCTAGGTTACACAGAAAGACCCTGTCTAAGAACAAGTAAAAGCTTACTGCCACTCTCTAAGATTGTCCTAGGTTCACTTGCTTCCACATTTCTTCTAGTCAAGTCTGGTAATCCTTCTTCCAAAAGCAGATCTCTTCCTCAAGAACAGAAGCCACTCGAAGTTAAACCAGCTCCTTTTCTGAGAAGTCGGTTCAAAAAACCAAAACCAAACTTGTCAAGAGCAGCCTTAAAGAGAGCAACCCCAGAAGCAGAGCATCGTGTACCTGGGAAGAAGTCAGAAGCAGAGACAGTCGCGTTACAGCAGGACAGTGAGCAGTCCGACTCTCCCTCTTCCCAGCATGTGAGTGATGATTCAGGAGAGGCTTTCTGTTGTTGTTACTGTGCTTATTAAATTATTTCAAGTTCATATAATGAATAATGTGTATAGTATTGTTCTAGGCTTAGTGTGCCTCATTAGTCCGTATAGTTTATGTTAAAATATTTGATGTTTGGTAGGCAAGTGTGAGCAAATGTGTATCTTGGAAGCATCTAAGACATTTTAGGTTCTACTTGGTATTCTGGTGAGGTCACATTAGCCAAATGACGTATCAGATTCCTCAGGAAAAATGGAGTAATAGTGCCTTACTTTATTGTTACTAAGATAAATAAGAAAAATGCTAGATATGAATTGAAGTGGATTTTATTTCCTTCATTAACTTAGTCGTAACAGATTAAGATTGTGTGTCAAAAACTCTAAAATGGACTGTCAACATTCAGCTTGGATTTTAGTTTTTGCTTTGTTATTGTAGTCTTGGGTATTAACCCTTAGGACCTCACAGATGTTGGAAAACTTTCTTTCACTGATTTGTATTCTCAGCCTTCTTCACTTTTAAGATAGGTACTCATTAAGTTTGCCCAGGTTGGCCTTGAACTCACACTATAATTTAGGCAAACCTTGAATTTGTCTTCCTGTTTCCCAAGTAACTGGAATTACAGGTCTGCATACCAGGCCTCACTAAATTGAATGTATTTTAAAGTACTTTTTAGAATTAAAGTTCATATTTTATACTTTAGAATAATTCTTTGTATATTTGTACTTTCTCTAACTTTGTGAAAGTTAAACTGCTTTTCTTATTATATGTGTGTAAGTGTTTAGCTTCAATGTCTGTCTGTGTGTGCCATGAATACAGTATCCACAGCCAGAAGAGGGCTTCAGGTGCCCTGAGATTAGTTACAGATGGCTGTGAGCTACCGTGTAGGTGCTGGGAATAGAACCTAGGTCTCCTGGAAAAGCAGTCAGTGCACTTAACAGCTGGGGTATTTCTCCAGTCTCATAGAAAAACTACTTTTATTTATTATTTTTCGTTATGAAATCCATAATTTTGAAAATTATGTCTGTATTCTAAAACACATGTAGATGTGTAAGTATTATATGCCTAAATGCCAACATCCTTTAGTATCTGATATTTCCACTTAACATAATATTTTAAACATCTATTGGGTTCAGTACAAAGAAAAACTTTTTTTTTTTTTTGGTGGGAGTTAACACTTTATTCACAAACTTCTGGGAAATTCACATGCATATTCAGGTTAGGAATTTTTTTTGTTTCTTTTTTATTTATTTATTTATTAAAGATTTCTGTCTCCTCCCCAC